TCACCCTAGGTAGAGTGCCGTGGCATCACAACTCACAGCAACCTCAAACTCTTGAGCTTAAGCAATTCTCTTGCGTCAGCCTCTCAAGTAGGTGGGACTACAGGTGCCCAACACAATGTCTGGCTATTTTTGTTGTTGTTGTTGTTGTTGTTGTTATTGTTTTAGCAGGCCCCGGCCTGGTTCAAACTCACCAGTTCCAGTGTATGTGGCCAACACCCTAGCCACTGAGCTATGGGTGTGAAGCCTCTTTTTTTTTTTTTTTTTTAATTGCAGTTTTTGGCTGGGGCCAGGGATGAACCTGCCACCTCCGGTATATGGGACCAGCACCCTACTCCTTGAGCCACAGGCACCACCCAGCCTCTTTTTTTTTTTTTTTTTTTGAGACCGAGCCTCAAGCTGTCGCCCTGGGTAGAGTGCCATGGCATCACAGCTCACAGCAACCTCCAGCTCCTGGGCTCAAGCAATTCTCCTGCTTCCACCTCCCAAGTAGCTGGGACTACAGGCACCCGCCACAACGCCGGGCTATGTTTTTTTGGTTGCAGCTGTCACTGTTGTTTGGCAGGCTGGGCTGTATATGAACCTACCAGCTCAGGTATATGTGGCTGGCACCTGAGCCACTTGAGCCACAGGTGCTGAGCCAAGATGCCTGTTTTTTAAAGAAACTTGGCATTGTTTCCCATGAAGCTGATGTGTACCTGATGCACTCCCGATCTAGTCCTCCCCAATTCCCATCCCAACACATACTGTCAACCTCACAGTGAACCTGAGTGCTGAGTGACTGGGTCTGTATCTTAGTGAAATGATACCACAGAGGGCATCCACAACTCACTTCTTCTGAAGACATATTGAAATCATTTCTCTGCCTTGACATTTTCCAAGCTACAGTTGGTTCCAATTTTCAACATGGCAGAAACTATAAGCCAAAGGAAGCAAATAAGTGTTTCCATAAACTCTAGAAAAGAAACATTCTCCTGCTACCTAACTGTGAAAAGCCCAGTTTGGGGACTGCCATTAACTTTTGACTTTCTTAGAAATCCATATGGAGGCTGGCACCTGTGGCTCAAGTGGCTAAGGTGCCAGCCACATACACCTAAGGTGGCCGATTCAAATCCAGCCCAGCCCACCAAACAACAATGATGGATGCAACCAAAAAAAAAAAAAAATAGCCAGGCATTGTGGCAGGCACCTGTCGTCCCAGCTACTTGGGAGGCGGAGGCAGAAGACTCACTTGAGCCCAGGAGTTGGAGGTTGCTGTGAGCTGTGATGCTACGGTACTCTGCCCAGGGGGACAGCTTGAGGCTCTGTCTCAAAAAAAAAAAAGAAATCCATATGCAGAAGATTCAATTTGTCTAAGTTGGCTACTGAAGACTGGGGTTGTTCTTAGGGGCACCTCTATTAAGGTCCAATTTCTTCAATATGTCCGACTGAACTGGCTTTCAGACTCCTCCCTGTTGTATTATAGAGGCACATGTGAATTGATTTCTAAGGACTTGATTGAGATTATTTGTTCTATTGCTTTGGTTTCCTATCAGTCCACTATAAAGTGGCTCAAACCACTATCAAGATGGTTCAAACGAGAGATCACAGCTATTGCTTTAGGAAATCTGTGTGTTAGCTGATGACAGCAAGAAGTTACAACACTATCCAAATTCATATGGGCAGTCCCTCTTTAGCACAGGGAATACATCTCTAGAAATAGGTGTGCTAACTGTACAGATCTTTTACCAGTGCTGTAAGGTGGCAGAGTTTTCTTCAGATCCTCTGAAGTTATAAAATGCCCTTGCCCATCATTTCTTCCATCGATCAGTACTTCAACTGTTCATCAGTTTTCTCCACTGTGGCACAGTTAGGTTACTTTTTATGATGTCAAAAGATTTACTCCATTCCCTAGTTGCCTGTTGATCTGTACCCTCTGTTTCCTCACCCATTTCCTCTAAGGTGCCTCCAAAGCCTGTAAAACTCCTATTTTTACATTCAACATGATAGTCTTCCTTTATTTCTTTGTGACAGGTATAGCACTATCACTCATTTTGCTAGCCATTATGGGTCAAAACTGTCTCCCAAGGCACAAACTAAATGACAGAAAAATAGGTTCTAGAGGAGTAAACAACACATCACAGAACTCAAGCAGCTCAAGCAGCAGCTTCACAACTCCCATTCCGGCCCAAGATGCCATCACCCCTCACCTGGATTATTGCAATTGCCTCCTAACTGGTCTCCCTGCATCTGCCCCTGCCCTGCCCCTGCCAGTTATTCTCCGCAAGCAGCCAGCGTGATCCTTTAGAAACATCAGTCAGGCTACGTCACTACTCAGCTGTATCTAAATGCTCCAGCAGCTTTGCTTTCACTAGTAGTAAAACATAAGGTTTGCTTCACTTTCTTCAGGTCTTTGCCCAAATGTCACCTTAATGATGAGGCCTTCTCCAACCATTTCACATACAACAGTAACTTCGCCGCGCCTGCACCATACTGCCAATTCCCACACCCTGCCCTTTTCCTTTCCATAGCACCTATCACTGTATCATATATTATATATTTGTTTGTAAACATGTGGCATACTGTGTTTTCCCAAGACAGCCCAAGATTTCCCATTCCACACACTCTCATACAATGTGACATTTCCACTACTTCCTTTGAGAGGTGAGGGCCTATGTTCCGCCTTCCCCTTGAGTTGAGGTGGGCCTGTAACTATAATGAAAATGATGCTATGTGACCTCTGAGGCTAGGTCTCAAAAAAGCCATAAAATCTCTGACTGGTCCTCTTGGGACACTGGATTTTAGAGCTTAGTCTCTATGATATGAGGAAGCCTGGACCTCATGGAGAGGACATTTGTACATGTTCTGGCCTACAGCCCTAGCTACAGTCCAAGCCGATAGTCAGCCTCAACTTCCAGACATGTAAGGACACTTTTGAGACTTTCCCAGCCAATGAATAAGAGACTCCAAGTGAGAACCTGTTTAGTAGCCTAATAACCTCCCAGAACCATGAAAGACAATAAAATTGTTTTAAGCCTCTACGTTTTGGGGCCATTTGTTATTTAACAATTTGTTAATATGTATATTTTGTGTCTTCTCCCTCTTCTAGGGTATAAGTCCCACAAGTTCAAGGATTTTGTTTTTCTTTTTTTTTTTTTTGAGACAGAGCCTCAAGCTGTCCCCCTGGGTAGAGTGCCGTGGCATTACAGCTCACAGCAACCTCCAACTCCTGGGCTCAAGCGAGTCTCCTGCTTCCGCCTCCCAAGTAGCTGGGACCACAGGCGCCCGCCACAACGCCCGGCTATTTTTTGGTTGCAGCCGTCGTTGTTTGGCGGGTCCGGGCTGGGGATTCAAACCGGCCACCTTAGGTGTACGTGACTGGCGCCTTAGCCAGTTGAGCTATAGGCGCTGAGCCAAGGATTTTGTTTTTCTTTGTTGCTGTACTCTGTTTGTACAATTTGTGTTTTGTGGCTTAATCCCATAATTTTACCGTGGTCTTTTCCAGATTAGGTTTGGATTAGGTTCATTAGGATTAGTGATACCTCCAGTTTGAATAACAAAGTTCTTCCTAAGAATGACTAGCTAGAATCACTCATAAGGTTTTGGGATGAAATGGACACAGTGGCTGGCCTGTAATCCTAGCACTCTGGGAGGCCAAGGAGGGTGGATTGTTTGAGCTCAAAAGTTCTAGACTGGCTTGAGGAAGAGCAAGATCCCCCCTTACTACAAATAAAAACAAAATTAGCTGGGCATGGTGGCAGAGGCCTGTAGTCCCATTGTCTCAGCTACTTGGAAGGCTGAGGCAGGAGGATTTCCTGAGCCCAAGAGATTGAGGTTGCCGTGAACTATGATGATGCCATGGCACTCTACTCAGGGTGAAAAATGAGACTGTCTCAAAGAAAAAAAAAAAAAAAGAGAGAAAAACAAAAAGAAAAAAAAATAGGATGAAATGGAATGAAAATGGGTGATGGCAGCGCGTGTGGGCGCACGTGCACTAATTCAGGTGTGTACACTGGGAAGCCTACCTACCCTGCCTATTTTCAGTCTGGTGGTTTTAACGCAGTATGTATATAAAGAATAAATATGGTTCTGGAGTCCTCCATTCTTGCACCAAGTACTCTGAATTAGCATTTCCTTTGGAGCAAATTTGTATATTGCTTAAAGAGCAAACATTCTCAAATACTCAAGAAAAATACTAAAATTTTATCATCTTAGGAGGCAACAAAGAGAAAAAATTTCAACTACCTGGAGAAGAAGTTAGTTTCTTTGGGGGAAAAGGAACAGGCGGACGGTCTTGAATGGACCAATTTATTTGGGACAATCCATTTCAGCCTTGACGTGAGCAGAAAGCGTATGGGTTTGTCGGAATGGGGATCTCCGTCGGTTCACAACAGTATCAAAGCAGTTTCCATCACTACAATTGCCTTGATAAATAACCCTGTGCAACTTCTTTCCCGAATCCAGAAAAACTTGACAGTAAAAATGGTTTTTTAAAGTTCTTCACGCATGCAAGGCCGCCACCGCGGGGCTCCGTGGCTGAGGGTCCTCGAGGAAGAGTGAGCGCCTTTTGCTCTCCGTGCCCCTGACAGTGGCTGGTGCCCCCGGGCCTCGCATCCGGCCTGGAGAGTGGACTTCTCTTGGTTGGGGAGCAGCTTGGGTGGAAAATGGGGAGACTTCCAAAATTTCCCTTAAAAGTCTAGGTAAGTAAATTGAGGAATATTTTCTTTGAGGGTTCCATTTTTCTCACCAAAATTTACATATTGCTTCTGAAGCTAATTATTCTTTTATTATTAAATTTTTTTTTCTTTATTTATTTGCCGCCCCAGCCAAACTTGACTAGAAAAGAAGCCCGGGTAGCCGTTTGGATGAGCCCATGACGTGCCGCGCACTGCAGCCAATTGTAGGGCCACGAAAGGAGGAGGGCGGAAGTGACGAGCCGTATCCCTCCGCGGGGCGAGAGGGTCGGTGGGGGGAGTCGGCGTCTCTCTGCTGCCGGGGGGCTGTAACACTCGGGAGAGTTGGCCCCCCCACCCCCTCCCACGGGGCCCCCCCCGCCCCCCTCGGAAAAAAAATCATCCCAAATCACTCGAACCCGAGGGAGGCTTGCTTTCACCCGCGGGGAGACGAGATTTCAACGGTTCCCTCTTCTTCGTCTCCCCCCGAGCCCCTGTTCCCTCCCCTCCTCCCACCCCTTCTGCCGGCGCCGGGTGCAAGGTCCCTTTAAGGCGACGGCGCCTTCCTCGGGTCAGACTACCGGCGGCGACGACCACGGGAGGTGAGTAAGCGAGCGAGCCTCCTCTCCCCACCCCCTTCTCCCGGGGGTTCCGTTATCTTTTCGCTCGGCGAGGCGTTCTGAGACGAGACAATAAGAGGGGGATGGGACGGGTGTAGTTGGGGGCGGGGGGCAGTGGTGCGCGCCCCCGCCCACCGCGAGTGGCGGCGCGGCCCGCGGCAGTGGTGACTGTGGGGCGCGACGCGCGCGCGCGCCCGGCCGGGGCCCC